CGGGGACAGTGGCAGGAGCTTGCAGCAAGTTGCAATTGGAGAGTTTTTGTATCGGTGTACATTCAGTATGATGTTGAAGTTGCACAGATGAAGAGGGAAAAGAGTGAAGATGATGATAAAGAGAAGCAGATGGAGAAGATGAAGAAGCTGCCAGATCCATTTCAAGCCGCATTTGCATCAGCATTGTCATTTAGCATTGGAGCTCTGGTTCCTCCGCTTGCTGCTGCATTCATATTAGGTTATAATTAAGGCTAACAGTGGTTATCATTGTGGCTACTTTTGCTTTGATATGTTTTGGATTTTTGGGAGCTGTTTAGGAAAGACTCACACTGAGATCTTGTGTGAGGGTTGTGTTTGGGGGATGGATAGCTATGGCCATCACTTTTGGGTTAACCAAGGTACTGTGTTCTTGGGGACTGGAGCTGTATGGATGAATTCATTTGCTTTATTTTTGCTGCATAAGGTTAGGTTCTTAACAAGAATCTAACCAAGCTATGTTTTGTTCTCTACTTGTTTGTTTTGTAAACATTTTTGTTTCTGGAACAAAAAATAAAAAGTAGAGGCTGCTGCGTTTTTTTTTTTTTTTAAATGAGTTAGAAAATGTTAAACTTAAAAAGAGATAGTGCTGTGAAGAGAGAAAAAGTTTATTTCAGCAATGTATTAATAACTAGACAAGCTTTTGAACCAGATAAGACGTTGGTTTAAAATTTATAGATAAAATAGTAGTAAAGAATCTCATGAACAAAACATTTTATTAAATAATTAAAATCCTAATTCAATGATTTATTAATTCAATTGGTTGAGTTGACTCAACAATTTAAATCGGTTTTGTGAAGCCCATTTAGAAAATAAATGTGGTGGCAATTTTGTAATTAAATTATTTAATGTTGTGCTTTTTAAGCTGATTGTTTAAATAATTGGGTTTAAAATTACTTTCCAGGCTGGTTAAAATACCAATTGATCTTGAAAGCAATATTATTAAACTCATAAGTTTAAGTAAATTTGTGATGAAAAGTAAACTCGTATCGTACTTGGATCATAAACTCGTAAGAGTTAACCTCTATCAACAAATAACCATTAAAATATGATTGTAATTTAATTTAAATATATTAAAAATATACATAATTGAAATTAATTCTTTATCATATACAAGGCATAAAAATTTTAAAATACGAGAATTTATTTTTAGTATTTTTGTTTTTTTATTAATATTAGTTTTTATGTTTATAAGTTTTTTTTTTGAACCAAATTTTATAACTTTTAGAATGAATTTTTCATAATATATACTTAACTTGCTCAACTTATAAAAAAAAAAATTAATGACTTTAATAAGTTTAACTAAACTTATATTCAATCTAAGTTTATGAATTAGTTGATACAATTTTATAAATTAAAAATATAAAAATAATAAATTTAAAAATAAATTTATAAATTTAATTAAATTTATATTTAATTTAAATTTATAAATAAATTGATATAATTTTATAAATTAACAATGTAAAAAGATTAAATTCATAGTGAAATTGAGAGTTTGACAATTATTTTAAAAGGTGTATCATTTACATCTCCTCCGAGCCAGCCGGTCTAGAAAGATTAACCAAATAGGAAGCAACCCCTGCGCCTTTCAGATTTCCCACGATTGCTCTCTTCTCCTTTCCATCGTCGCTTCCCCGTTGCCTCCACCTTCCTCCGCCCATGCTTCGTCTTATCCGGCACCTTACCCACCATTGGCGACGTCCTCTTCTTCTTCTTCGTGCTAGGGCACAGAACGCCCCTTTTGCCTCTTATCGCTCCTTCTTGTAGTAATCCTGTTTGCCCTATTTTCTAGGAACTACCTCCTCCTCCTCTTCCTTCTCGTGTTCTCGTTTTCACATTCAGCTCATATTTAAAAAAATTCTGGCACCGCTAGATCTTATCTAAATACTGCAGAGCAGAGGCGAGTTTGCACTCCCCAGCCTCCATCGTGTTGTTCTACTAATTTCCCTCACATTATGCAGTTATTCGTTTCTAATTCTTCGTCGGTCGCTCTGCTCGTTTTCCTGTGGACTCTGAAATCTCCCATTTGTCTTTGTTTTGGGTTGGGTTCAGATTAGTGAGTCTCCATAGTAAGGAAAAGCAGAATAGGAAAAATGGGAAGTGTCTTCGTGCAAGAGTTGGAGGGCAGGTCTTACAGATGCAAGTTCTGCAAAACCCATTTGGCCCAAGCCGATGATCTCATCTCTTGGATGTTATTCCTTTTCTATCGGTAATTAGAGACCTTCAGTTTTTTGATTGGGAAGAACGATTCTTTATTCTTTTTAATGTTCGTAAATTTTAGGAAGGACGATTCTTTATTCCTGGTTATTGTAAATTTATTTTTAAAATTCTCCTGTAGTAAATAGGCACCAAGTCTTTATTATGAATTTCTGATGATTAAAATGTTGATGGATCATGGTTATGTGGTAATGCAGGATACACATGTTTTTGAGAGAGCAATATTGATACATATGTTTTTTGCTTCATTCTCAATGTTCAAGATGTTTTTCCTAGGGCTAATTTCTCTCAATATTGAGAGAGCAATATTGATTCAGTTGTTTTTGGGAGAGCAATATTGAACGATTCTTTATTCTCAAAGTTCAAGAAGTTTTTTGCTCGTGCTAATTTCTCTCAACTTTTTAAGTAATTGTTACTTCTAGCTTGAACTTTGAGTCATTGTCTCTTTTGCCTGCTGACACACAATGCTGAAAATAGAGTAGAGTACTCTAGTTCCGAAACAAGGGTTATTTTTTGAGAGAGCATATGATCCAAAACACTTCGCTCTCTCTCTCTCTCTGCAGTGACATGGTTTTTAAGCTAATTATGTGTTGAAATAGCTCTTTAGTTGTTTTCATGTTGATTGATAAAGCCTTGGTTTTTCTAGTTCTGATAAAGCCTTGGTTTTTCTTCATCTACCATTCTGTTATGGAGTCTAATATCTTCATTCTTTCCTTTTATTTATTGGTTCCCATTTCATTTATCTGATCTACAGGTTCCTTTTATTTAACTATGAGTTTTCCCTCCAAGAAAAGGAATTGACGAATGAGTTTTCACTTCTAGAGTGAATATGAAGTCTCCTACTGTGGAGGTAACCTATTTGAGATTTTATTTTAAAATAAGCTTGTTTTTATTAATAAAAATATGTATATCCTTTTCTTTCTTTCCCCCTTCTTTCTCTTTTTGGGTGGATGTAATGGCAAGTACAAAGCTTGAAAGTAAACACCAAAATGACAGAGCACCAAGAACTCTTCTCTGTCCTTCCTTTTAAGGTAAGGTTGCTACTTTAATTTTTGTTTTGTTTTTATATATAGCAGGAAACAAATATGTTATATATTTCATGTAAAATTGAATCTTGATATGTGATCTTGTAGTGCCATTATTTATTATTATCATGCTCCCACGCCCTACTTAACTATGACTCAGACGGGATCCTTGTGAGCAGGGTAAGGGAAGAAACCAATATTAGTTATATATACTAACATATGCGTAGAAATATTATCCTTTGCATTGGGTAATATGAAAATTAGCATTTTCTTTAATGAACTCCCATCGGCAGTTCTTTACATTGGTGGTGTAGTATTTGAAATAATTTCAACACTTCTAGAATCTGATTCTCCACTGTTTGGTCAGTTTGATTAGTCTATAGATACATTCATACATTATCAGCAAGTTACTGCTGATAAAATTGTGTCCACGGAGCATTTAGTTTGAGAAATTGATTGTTCTTGATGCTCTTTTACATTTGCTTATTGAATTTTTATTTATTAGCAAGTTACAATGAAAGCTAAGAGAATTGACAATGCTTCAGAGGAAATCAATGTAAATGTCAATATCAAATATATAATTTAGAATATAGTCTAAGTATTATATGTCAAACAGCGCGATTTAGTCTTCACAATGACATTGTATATGTGCTGATTTATTGAAGCATGACAAGCAAGCAAAAATGCTCCACCTGCACACGTACGTGAGTGCCAGACTACTTAGTTGACAAAACAACGTACAGGCTAGGGAAATGGTCAGGCTTGCCAGGGATGCAATGGGAAATAATATTCAAGCTTGGTGTTGCTTCTTGGTGATTTGCGCTCACTTTTGTTATTCTCAGGCTATTTCTGTGGTTAATTTGCGAAGCTCTTAATGGGAAAATTGATCAGACCTAGTTAATGCTGTCAATGTTAGCTTGCTTAGTTTCAATTGTTCATTGTGCTTGTTGTTGCTATATTTGGAAAAATTCTCTTTTCTGCTATTCACACTGTTTTTTATCATTGAACATCGATTGCTTGATTTGTGAACATACAAGAGTTGGATTGGAGATAATTTAAATATGTCGTTGTTTGAATATAGGGGCTTTTTTTTGGATTGGAGAATTTGGAGGTAATTTAAATAAGTTGTTGTTTAAATATAGGGGCTTTTTTTTTTTATTCCAATCCAAAAAAAAAAGTCCCTAAATGTCTTTTTTTTTTTAGATGTCACTTTCTAAACAAGTTGTACTTTCTAAGTTGGTTCTAAGTTACAACAGAAAGTAGACTTTCTAAACCATTTTTAGCCGATTTAGAAAATCTTTTTTATACTAGTGCAATTTTAATACTATGCATTTCAATGATTAGATAAATAGAATCTCAAAAACATGTGCCAAGAAGAATACCCTAAGTCAATGGTAGAGCCAAGACTTCAGCTTTGGGGCTCAATTTAATTTAAAAATTGATCATATAAAAATAAAATTTAATAATTTTGAAAAATTAATTCCATGCCTTATAATTAATTAAAGGCAACATTTTTGTTTTATTACAATAGTTGAAAATTGCAGCTAAAAGTGTGAAAATTGTTGTAAAAAACTAAAAGTAACATTTTTAAACTTATACTTATTCCGGTGTTATTTGTTATAAAAGGTTATAGGTTTTGCACTCTGTAGTCATACTTTTCAAAATCTATTGTTTATATTTTAAAAATAAGCAATAGTTTACATATCAATATGTTGCAATAATTTTAAAATGTTGTCTATCATATAATCATAATAATAGGTAGTTAAGAACTGTTGTATGTATATAAAATAGAAAAAAAATTAAGATTAAGATTTCTATCTATATCTGGTGTTTGAACCTCGAGCCTCAAGGAATCAAGGAAGTTAAAAATAACTTTTACCACTTTTTCAAATTTACTATCATATCATTTGGTGTGCAAATTATTTTATATATAGATAATTTTTTTAAAGTGATTTTTTAATTTAACTAATTAATAATTTAATAAATCAATCAATTAATTTTTTAATTAACAAAAGTATAGCAAAAAATATTAAAAAGTGTAAAAATAAATGGCTTTTATGTATAAAAACACAATACGCAATGATTATTAAATGTTGTAAAAAAAAATTTAAAGGTAACAATTATGTAATTGTTGCCTATCAAAAAAGGAAATAGTTTTTAAATGTTGTAAAAAAAATCATTTTATTACTTATTTAAAAAATACAATTCAACAATTTAAAAGTATTGCTTATTCTATGTTAGGTAACATTTTTCAAGTGGTGTCAAATATTTGTTGTTTAAATTAATAATCAATTGCAATGTTTGAAAAATGTTCCTTATTTACACATTAAACAATACTTTTAGAATTGGTACGAAGCGTTAGAAGCAAAAAATGTTATAGTGATTGTGATGTCATGTTTTGAAAAATCATTGAATATGAAATAAAAATAAAAAATTTTAAAAATTATTGTGAAAAAGATGGGTTTGATATTGAAAATGAAAAGTAAACAATGACATTGTTTTATAAAATTAATATTGTTGTTTATTAGGTTTAAGACTTAAGACTAGAGTTTAATAGGCTTGAGTGAAGTTATTGTATCTGAAAAAGTTGAAGTTAAATAAATTTGAAGGATATTGTCAATATATTCAAATACAATATATATATATATATATATATATAAGGAAATTCGTTTTCAAATAAAAGAAAGAATACTGACACATATCAAATACGTAAATAAAGGACCAAAGATATATGAGCGAATATCTTTCATATATAATTATATATATATATGAAGATAAATATATGTGCATTTTTTTATTGCCGTGGGCTTAATACTGCGCTCAGCTTTTTGTTGATAAAAACAAAAACTTGTGTCAATGGTTTTCTCCCTCAGACCCATGAAAAGGACGAAACAAAAGAGGTTGTCCTAGATTTCTCTCTCCTGTATGACTACCCAATTTCTGTGTTTTCATTCTTCCCTATAGTTACTGGATCATTCCACACATTTTCATTTGTTTCACTTTTCTCCCTCACACACAGGGAGTCAGACTTTTTAAATTAGTGGGACAAAATGTCAAAACTTTTCCTATGTACTTACGTGAAATTTCACTCAACTAAGGAGTGCCAAAGCAAGAAGTTGGGGTAGAATTCTAGTACGGATGCATTCCCTCCTTTCAGTGTATTGAGGTCAAACTTTTATTCTTGAATTACTTTGAAGGATAACAGTGATAGTATCTAATAATAAGAAGAAAAAATTATTAATCTTAAGTAGAGTGTCCACCGTTCAGTCATAGCCTGTTTGATTATTAGAAAGATTGTTAATGGAATGGAATGGAAATGGCAATTAGGTTTGGGTAAATATTTCCTTATATTTTCGAACCTATGAATGACAATTAGGTTAAAAGATATTAAGCTTGGAATGCGTCTAATCAAGCGACTTGTGCTATTTTGATTAAGTAAACTATTCTCAACCATTCTTAATATAAAGAGTTTGATAGGGGCTGTTTGTTAAAATAGAATCCAAATCCATGGTGGTTTCTGGTTTTGTTGGATCAATAGCCTAGCTTGCAGCATGGCAATAAGAGAATTAGTGTGAGTGTACGCTCAGTATGAAGTTTGAGATTTCACAGATCAGGAGAGAAATGAGTGAGAATGATGAAAGGAAGAATAATAATAGTGCCAAAATGCATATCAAGCAGCATCTGCATCAGCATTAATTATTATTTTGCACAGGAGCACCGATTCCTCCGCTTGCTGCGGCATTCATTACAGATCACAAGATAAGGCTAATGTTGGTTGTGGCTGTGGCTTCGTTGGCTTTGACAGTGTTTGGATATGTGGGAGCTGTGTTGGGAAAGGCTTGTATTTTGAGAACTTGTGTGAAGGCTCAAGGCTGTATTTGAAGGGTGGATATAGCTATGGCAATCATTTTTGGGTTAACCAAGTTCTTGTGGATTGAGCCTATAATTTGAATGAAGTAATTTGCTTTATTTTGCTGTATGAGGTCAGGCTCTCAACATGAGAATCTTAAAAAAATGATGTTTCATTCTCTTGTGTTGAAGTATAATGGGATATTGTTGTGGGGAGAGAAGTGATCATTTTAGTCGGTGACAGATGCAAGAGAGACTATGGGAGCCATGGCTCCCTGAATTTTCAAATTTTATTTGGTATTATATAGGTGGTCTGCATTTCTGTCCCCCAAAATTTATACAAATTTTATGCCATAAATGCTTTTCAATCCTAGTCCTCCTCATTACTAAATCCTGGAACTGCTTTGGATTTTAGTGATCTAATGTAAAGAATTTATCCTAACTCAAAAGTACTATGATTGAGGGTATGTTCAAGTAAAACATAGGCGAGTTTATTCCAGTATACTAGGTTTAAAATTTTATTCTTAAAATACTCTGAAAGATAATAGCAAACAAAAGCTATTTTTTTTATTGCTCACAGCTATCTTTCAATTGGAGGCAATCTTATTCGAGACAAGATTAAGTATTAAATGCGAGCACCTCTTTTAATGAAGATTCAAATCTTGGCTCACCATATTGGGAAAGACTAGCCCCTTCCACTAGATCTAACCCCATTGGTCAACAAAAGCCCATTAAATAAGACAAAGAGAGGGAAGAATGGTACAATTTGTTTGATAAAGAATAATATATAATGATTAATGCCTCTTCTCTATTCTTACTTTCTTTTGCCTTTTCCTCCTTGTCTATTAGCTGAAAACAGATGTATTGAATTATGCTAAACACAGATGTATTCTTAATTTCACTTATTTTTATAGTTTGTAATTATTTTTTCGTAATTCGATACCCTTTTATAATTTATAGTTATTTTTTATTAATCCCAAGAGTTGAAACGAACAATCACTCAGCACCAACTTGCGAAGCTTTATCATGATTTCACAAAAATGAAAAATGATTCTTATCATTTATTTTATTATAAATCCTATCGTATTAAGGTAGTATTTCTTAAAAATATGCAATTAATACGTGTTCTTGATTCTTGGATTTAAAAAAATATGATCCTATTAACTTCAGGCGTTGATTAAGAACAAAAAGGAATATGGCTTTGTTACGTGACTCTTGAGCACCTGCAGCTACTTCGAACTTCAGTGACGAGAGATGCAAACAAATCATCAGGAAACTTTCTCCCGATCAGAATCTTAACTTGTTGATTGTGCTTGTGCATAAAATATTATTTGAAAAGATTATTGATCCTGTCGTGACATACTCCAGTTTTGACATAAATCCGAAAGGAATTAAACTCACAATTATTGTAAGTTTATATTCTCAGGAAGATATTCTGATTCTGAACAATTTTCCTTCATGCATACAAATAGACACTATTTTCTGGATATTTTATAGTCAAAGATGAGTACTGAAATAATAGTTAGCTTCATTTATTTAAAATTAACTCAGTTTTTGTCCTTTGAGAAAGACAAAGTGAAGAACTTCGAAATAATATTCCCAATCCTATATCATTTGGCTGATGCTATAACCCAAAAAGTCTCCAGAAACGAACCTACAAATAAATGAATCACCTCATCAATAACACTCATCCCCCAGAATTTTCATCCCTTCTCATTATAAGTCCTTGAATCTCCACACCCTTTCCTGCAATCTTAAGCCAAGAAATCTTTGATTTTTCTTCTGAGTTCTTCAGCTTTCTTGAGCTTCTTTGATCTTTCCTCTTCTTGTCTGCCATGGCCGCCATTTTACCCTGTGGTTTGGTATCCCTCAACCATGTAGGAGTAGCTCCAAGCCCAATCCAACCAAATTATGAAGATGATCATGAACAAACCACCCAAACTCCAAAGGAAGAAACTGGTGAGCGCGACTACTCTCAAAGGGGTCAATGGCTTCGTGCTGCAATATTGGGAGCCAATGATGGTTTGCTTTCAGTTGCTGCACTGATGATGGGTGTAGGAGCTGTTAAAACAGAAGCCAAAGCAATGGTGCTTTCTGGTTTTGCGGGGGCAGTGGCAGGAGCTTGCAGTATGGCAATAGGAGAGTTTGTATCAGTGTACACTCAGTATGATGTTGAAGTTGCACAGATGAAGAGGGAAATGAGTGAAGATGATGAAGAGAAGCAGATGGAGAAGATAAAGGATGTGAAACTGCCAAATCCATTTCAAGCAGCATTTGCATCAGCTTTGTCATTTAGCGTAGGAGCATTGATTCCTCTGCTTGCTGCTGCATTCATATCAGATTATAAGATAAGGCTAATGGTGGTTGTGGCTGTGGCTTCACTGGCTTTGATAATGTTTGGATATGTGGGAGCTGTGTTGGGAAAGGCTCCCATTTTGAGGTCATGTGTGAGGGTTGTGTGTGGAGGATTGATAGCTATGGGTATCACTTTTGGGTTGACCAAGTTACTGGGTTGTCGTGGATTGCAGCTTTATGAATGAATTGTGACCAACCCATTTCCTTATTTTCATTGAATAAGGTTAGTTTCTCATGATAAGAATCTAACCAAGTTACGTTCTATTCTTTGTTTTATAATTATAATATTGAAAATATTAGTTGCTGTTATTATCAGTTAATTAGTTACTGTTAGTGATTATAGCAGTTAGAGGGTAGGTAAGGGTATTATATGAGAAATTATACGATTAAAGGCCTATATATAGGACTACCTATGTAAATCAATCTATGGTTATCCTAAATGAGAATCTTTCAGCATATCATTCAGTAATCCATCTTGTCTCTCTCTGTTCTCTCTCTCTCTCTCTCTCGTCTCTCTAAAATCTCTCTTCTCCTGTGTTCTTCTCTCTTCTTTCCCTCTATTTCTCTTTCTTTCCGGGTTACAAACATCCAACACTTTCCTTGTTAGTTGTCATCATTGAATTCTATTTTATCTAACTAATAAATGTTGATCATTAACTGATTATTTGTTAATTGATGTCAGTGAAAGATTACATCTTTGATCATTATTCAGTCTCATAATGTAATGCTGCGACATACAAATTCACTTTCCTCTTTCATGATTGATTGCATTTTCCTCTTTTCCTTTTGAAAAAAATAGAAGGATAATGGGATGTTGAATTGAACAGAGAAATCATTATTTCAGTGACCAGAGGTAAAGAATATCAAAGGAATGTGCCAAAAAAAAAAATCCCTTTGGGTGACATTTAGCATGTAGTTATCAGCATTTCTTAAGTATTTGGAAATTAAAAATCCCTAAAGAAAAATTAAACTTGATATACATATGCTATATAATAAAATACACAAAGCCACAAGTAACAACTCATACATGGAAGTGACAGATTACAGTAGCTTTGCAAATGAAATGATATAAATATTCTTGAAAACCTTCAAATTGGGCCCTTGAAGGCTTGAAAGTTGAAATAAATGTTTTCTTTTCTTTTTTGGGTAAATAATGATAAGTGTATCTCCAAAACATTCACGAGTTTAGGTGATGGTGAATTGTCATCCAACTCTAAAGCTTAGATCTTGGAGTTGCATCCTCAATGGTTCAGAAGGCCATAATACACGAGACATGGCATTACATCTTCAGTAAAGTTGTCAAGGACCAGAGTTCATGAGGGAGAGAAATCAAGGAAGAAGTGTCATGCTGAAAAATCTGACGCATGGCATTACATCTCTGCCTAATTTCCAATCACACTGAGCCTCACCTTTTGCATTTGAAACACCTCTGGTTTGGGGAATCCAGTAATTAAAGCAACGAAGTTCTGACCCATTGGAAATCCAACACTCACGTTAGGTTGGCAAGGTTCCCCATACTGCTCGTGACATTATTATCCAAGTCCGTAGCTGATATTTTAAGTTGGCGTGGTTGGGAAGAAAGGCGTTGGCAGGTGTTGAAAGATTTGGAAAGAAGCTAATTGTCAAGGTAGTCAGATAATTTTGGCATCCTTTGATAAATTTTGGTACCCATTGGAAAATTTGGAAAGCATTCCCAAACTTGACCAAGCCCTCCTTTATGTCTGTTGTCCAGTGATAGTAGTTGTTGTGCTGATGTAGTTGCCGTTGCAGATAACTTATTTTGAAGTTTTTGGTCTTTGTGCCTTGGTTTGAAGACAATTTCTGATTACCCAAAGGTCCCTAGTGTTTAGCTGAATTTTTGGTACTTTAAGCAATGTCAGTGTAAGATTTTCTGTCCAGGACCATTCTTTTTTTTTTTTGGGTGAAGTTGAACTCATAAAGCTGTGTTCTTGATCTTAGGACAATAGTTGATCTTTTTATGCTTACTTGTTCAAGTTGTAATAGTTTATCTTGATATATATCATATATATGTAACACAGCAGAGCATTCTTAGAGCTGCTACTTGCCTACTTTCTCTGTGAATTTTCTTCTTCTTCCTTTTCCAACACGGAAACATAGGAAAAAATGATCTTTGTGGGATTGTGCATGAAAGAAATCAAGGAAGAAAACCTCACCTAAAAAACTATAAACCCTTGAGAGATGTGAGTGATCGTTGTAATGGCTACAAGCAGCAATATTTCTGCACCTTCTCCATTTTTCACGGTAGAAAACTATCGTGTGGTCCGTGAAGATGGAAGCAAAACTTAGGGTTCTGCTACTGTGGGAAGCTGTTGGGTCAGACTTTGAAACCGCATTTCTAGAGAATCCAACCTTGAATCAGCTCAAAATGTACGAAGAAAATGTCTGCAGAAAATTTAGAGCATTAAGTAGTCTTCATTCAATAGTAAATGAAACTGCTTTTAGTAGTACCATGGCATGCAAAACAGTAAAGGACGTTGAGGAGAAGTTGAAGTCAGAATTTCAAGGAAATGAAAAGACGAAGCAGATACAGATCTTCAATTTGAGGAAGGAGTTTGAACTTCTCAGAATGAAAGAGACTGAGAATCTTAAGGAGTGCATTGATAGAGTCATGAAAGTTGTTGATCAAGTGAGGCTAATGATTTCGGGTAAAAAGTTACACCCCACACACACACACTCTTATGTAATCTACATCCCATTTTACTTTATTTGTAAAACTTGCATACAACAACTCATACACTCTTAAGACATTGACGTAGAAGATGACATAAGCATTGTAACTGAAATGTCGTAACTACTCTTCAAAATCTTTAAATGGGCTCATTGAAACAGTTCTTTCCGTTTTTGGTAAATGATGCCAGAAATATACAGAATGCAAGACGTGCATGGCTCTGCATAGCTTGAAATCAATTGGAGATTGTTACCGAGTTTAAGCAGTTTTACAGCTGTAACTGATTAAGTTAATCTGTAATTATCAATGCAACACGTCATTTGGACTTACTCATTCTCTCACTCTTTCTATTTTGCTATCTATTTGGATTTCAATTGAGTATAATTGAATGTTAAAAAAATAAATTGATATAATTGATTTTGATTATAATTAATTATGTTATAATGTTATCATGTTTGGATATTATTTTTCAGAAATTAATTTTGATAAAATTAAAGATGTTTGGATGATTTAATCAAAATTAATTTTAAATGTGCAAATTATCATAAAAGACATTGTCCTTTAAGATATTAATATTAATATAATTGCATATAATATTATTAAAGTTGTTAAATTCTATTTAACAAATAAAATATGCATAATATTGATCCAGTTGATGTTTATATAATATTTAATATATATATATATATATATATGATTAATTATGAAAATTATTTTTTTTACCAACAATTATGAAAATTATATTTGAAAATCATATTAAAATTTACACACTCACTCCCAAACATATCAACATGAGATGGGAAGGCATGATTTCTTCACTTTAACTGCACGTAATTTTCTCTTAAATAAAGGCTCTCAAACAGAGATGTAATTTTCTCTTAAATAAAGGCTCTCAAACAGAGATGAGAAGATGTGATGTCATTGTGAGGGAACTTTTCTGTTTTTTGAGTGATGTTCACAAGCCAAGCAATGCCACCGCCCCCACAGGGGTATGTTTGAAAATTTAACCATTATGACAAAATAATGATGACACCAAGAGTTATACGTGAAAATTGAAAAGTGATCCTATCAGCTTATACAAAAATTGAGTTTCTGAGATAAAATCAAATTTTTTTTAAAAACAAAAGGGGCGTTTGGGTTTCTTTTCTCAAAGCCATGGTGCCTGTTTGGATAAAGTTTTTAATCAATTTTAGAGGTTAAAATCATAGTTTTATGAACATTTATTTGAACATCCCTATTGTACATGTTAAAATCAATTATATACCTAAATTTACGTTTTTCTAAAAAGATCTAAATACCCATTATACATGCAAAAATCAATTTTGAACCTAAAATCATATTTTTCTTTAAAATAGCCAAACACATTTATATATGTCAAAATCAATTATAAACTCAAAAATATGATTTGTAAAATAATTTATGTGAATTTTAGATAAATTTTTAAAAAATATAATTGAAATATAAATTGAAAAGTAATTAATAGTAGCTTATAAGATAACCATAATTTTGGGCTCATAATTGATTTTGGCATGTATGGAAGCGTTTGAATATTTTTAAGAAAATCATAATTTTGTATTCATAATTAATTTTGGCATGTATGATGGGTGTTTAAATTTTTTTGAAAAATATGGTTTTAAATTCATAATTGATTTTGATATGTAGCAAGAATATTTAGATATATTTTCACAGAACCATGATTTTACTTGATTTTCAATTATGCTTCTCAATTCTACTTTTTAATTTTGATTAAAATTAATTTTATAAATTAAGTATGTGCCTATTTGGATTAGAATTGGATATAATTGATTATAAAAATAATTAATTAATATGATTAATTTTAATTATAATTAATTATGTTATAATCCAATTTATTTAGATATTAAAATTAATTTGAGCTATACAAATTTTCGCAAGGGACGTTACTTTTTAAAATTAAATTATTGATAAAGTTATATTTAATATTATTAAATTTGTTAAACTTTATTTAAGAAGTAAAATATATTATTTAACTATAAAATTAAATTTAAAAGCAATCTCTCAGAGCTTATTTTAAAATGTGACTCTACCTCAATAATTAATTATAACTTTTTTTGCTGTTTGAGTATTTTTTTTCAAAACTCAATTATTTAGGCCCCAAAATTGATTAATATAATAATCCAAATAGGTTATATATATCACATAATATAATCAATTATATTCAAAATTAATCATACTAATTAATTTTTTTCATAATCAATTGTATACAACTGAAATCTAAACACATCATGGTTTAGGTTTTGCATAATTGATTATATGGCATTATTAAGCACACGCTCCCAATACGGTTGAGAGATAACGAGATTACAACCATCTCTCATGGGTTGACTTTGGAGTTGCAGCTTTAGCCGTTCAGAGGGCCCTACTACTTGTACCTCTTGTAAGGAAGTCAGGGACCAAAGCTCGTTAGGGAGAGCAGTCAACCTCCGACACTCTGCGATGATCAAACATCTGAGGCATGGCATTACATCTTTACCTAATTCCTAGCGATAGAGCTCCAAATGTCTCATTTGAAACACTTCTAGTTGGGGAAACCCAGCAATGCAACAAAGCTCTAACTCAGATCTTGAGGCATTCGAAAACTCGAATGAAGATAGTTTCAAAATTCTGAGGTTGTTAAGACTCCCCAAAGTGCTGATGACATCGTTACTTAAGTTCATGCCCAAGATTGCTAGTTTGGTAAGGTTGAAAGGAAAGGCATTGACAGACGTTGGAATTTCTGGACAACCATAAATCTTCAATGCATTCAGATAATTGAGGTTTGGAAGGTTTTTCCACAATTGACCAAGCCCTTGTTTATGCTTGTTATCCTCATAGAAATGCAACCCCAATCTCCTTAGCTTTGGGAATACACCTTTCCCTATCAGAGACACAACAGCTGATTTTTTGTTTATGGCGACACAGGATAGGGTTTGTAGATTCCACATGATATTACTTTCTACATCTGGAAAATCAGGCAAGACCACAGGTCCAGCCGTATGAAGATGCCTCAGTCTCTTGAGCTTCCACATTCCACTGGTGAAGGGTATGGATATATTATAATGTGAACGCCCCAAGTCCAATGTTTCTAGATTCCAAAGATTGCATAGGAATTTAGGAATCTCCCTAACAAAAATTCGACCAAAGCTTGTCTCTATGTCTATTCTTAAGTACCTTAGATGCACGAACTTGTCCAAATGGGGAGGGATCTTATTACAGTGGTAAATAGGAAGCCCCAAATCCAACACTCGAACAAGCTGAAAACATTTCACAAGCCTTTTTGACTTGTTTGAATCAAGGTGGTAGTAGGAGTCTCGATAAAAGCAGAGCACAGAACGAGTACCAGAATGATCTTTGTTGCTTGAAACAAGATAATCAGACACGCTATATTGAATGGATAGCCTGCGAGGTTTGGTTTGCTCCAGAATGTCCACATCCCTACAAACTTCAGAAACCTTTTCCTCCTTGCTCTCGGATATGCAAAGTTCTCTTAGAAGATCATGGATACGACATGTCTTGATTCCCCCATCGCTTCTCCTTCTCCCTACTTGGATTAAGCTACGATCAATGAGCTCATCCAAGTAGTCCTCTGCAACATCCTCTGCAATTCTGGAACCATTATGAAGAATGAATCCTTCTGCAACCCATAGCTGGATCAAGCGTCTAACAGGAATCTCGTAATCTTCAGGAAACATGCCAAAATATAGAAAGCATGGCTTCAATCTTCGAGGCAAGCTATCATAACTGAGTTCAAGTACTATATCCTGGACTTGGGTCTCTGGTTGGGTGAGATACGAGTTGACATGGCCCATGATCTTGGACCATTCTCGGAATGTCTTATCCTTGTTTGCCAGAATTCCTGCTAGCACCACAATGGAGATTGGCAAGCCACCACAACTTTTTACCATATGCTTACCTAGCGGCTCTAGATTTGAAGGCATGTCCTCTCCTCGGAACACCTTCTTTGAGAAAAGCTCCCAACTTTCTTCTTCATTAAGAAAAGGGAGATAGTAGGGAGGAGATGAGCTGGCATGAGAAGCCACCTCTTTCAAACGACTGGTAATCAAGATCCTACTGCTCTTATTGTAATCTGGAAAAGCACATTGTAGGTCATCCCAATGTTGAGGTTTCCATATGTCATCCAAGACTACAAGATACCTCTTCCCTTTTAAACACCCTCGCACCTTGTCTTTCAGTTCC